TTGAAGCCACTTACCAACGAATAGCCGCCCGATATTATTGGCTCCAAATGGGGAACGATATCAGAAAATATACTCGAACATGTGAATGGTGTCAGAAAAAGAAATGATCCCAAACCCGGGAACCTTTACATCCTATTAAAATCGGTCAGATCTTCAACCGCGTAGGAATCGATATTGTGGGACCACTCCCCCGAACTCCTAAAAACCATCGATACATCGTAGTAGCCACTGAATATCTTACCAAGTGGCCCGAAGCCCGTCCTATCGAGAAAGCCGATGCCGAAAGCATTGCGATTTTATTTTTGAAGACATTATTTGTAGGCATGGTTGCTCCAAGAAATTACTATCCGATAGAGGATCTCATTTTTGTAATCAGGTCGTTGATGCTCTCTGCAAGAAAATGTGTATCATCCACCATAAATCAACGGCATATCATCCACAAACCAATGGTTTGGTTGAATGGTTTAACCAAACCCTTTGTAGAGTGTTGAATAAATGTGTTAACCAGTTTGAACAATCGTGGGATGAATATGTCGCGCCAGCCCTTTTTGCCTACTGTACTACCGCCATTCTACTACCGGGCATGAGCCCTTTTTTTAATAATATATGGGCGTAACACCGTTCTCTCAATTGAAACTAGCCTCGTGACCTCTTCGATTAAACCTAATACAGAAGAGGAATTAGAATTCTTAATATATCGACATTTGGAAAAGATATATGAGGAATTGACGGTGTCATAACAACAGGCTATGGACAAAATAAGAAAGCCGCAAGATCAGCAAAAAGAGTATTAAGAAAAAAGAAATAAGCTAGAATCATATGAAATCGACGATTAGGTTCTTTAATATAGGAGTAAATTGGCTATGTCACACAGTGCCAAGTTAGAACCCCAAAATTTGGGTCCCTATTATAACCATGATGTACTACCCAACAGGGTGTGCAGATTACGGACGATCAACGGTCATATGCTTAAAAAGAGGTATCATGGAAACTGGTTGTTGCGTTATCATCACCAGCAGTAATTTCGATTCCTGTTTAATTAAGCTAGCCACGACTTTTATAAAAAGCCGCCTCCTGGACCTCCTAGAGAAGAAAAGAATAAAATAAATTTTATTAAAACAATGAATTCCGTTGAGACCCCTTCCAACATCCAAAAAACTCTCACTTTACTTAAGAGTCAAATCGAGAAAGCCGACCTGGACGGGACGTATATGGTATCTCCTAATAGTGTCTTATATTTCACGGACCAACAAACCCAAATTATTCAAGCTGAGGGTCCCAAGTATGAGAGTGATGGACAGAGGCTTTGTCGAAAAATGCCAGAATTTCTCCAAGATATTCGACGCAGCGGAATTTCTTTTACTCCAATTGAAACTCCTCCAGGAGATACCTGGTAAGAAAAGGTATCATCACTTTGTAGAAGAATCTCTTCTGACCAGGTAAATCATAGGTCGCAATTACCCTATTACTATGGGTTAGGAGCTTTAATGGAAGAAGCGGCTTGGAGAAAGAAGGCCAAAACATTTGTGAAGCAAATAATGGCCAGGAAATCCAAGGAGCTATTAACTACTGCCCACCGAACTCACTAACTTTATAAATCCTGGGGCCCTTCTTATCTTTTATTATGCAGCATCTTACCCCCTTTATTATTTGTCGACTGCTTAAAGAAGATTTCCTCAAGTTAGACGTAGAAGCTCAAAAGGCCTCTCAAGATGAATAAAATGCGATCATTGGTGATTTCGCAGGGGCTCAATGGCAAGGAGGGGCATATGTAACAAATTAAAAACTTTATTTTTTTTTTATATATATTATTATTTTGTTATTGTAAATAAATTTTTTATTTTCGTGGGGAAATATCCGCATGTACATAGTCTATTTGTAATTTCCCCACCTGTTTTGGTAGCAATGCCTAATTATAGCAAATTTATTAATTTTCTTTTGAGGATTTCATAACTTATACAAAATTAATAATGATGGGTGGCTTAGTGACATGGATGTATGAAAATCAGCTGAATCACGTAGACACTGAAAAAATCGCGTATACGTGATCGTACAAAGACTGCGCCCTGAGATTTTTCAGTGTGTATATTATTTTTGTGGTGTATACACCCAAATCTCCACAACTACGTTACAATTTCGGTGTAAACACTGAAATAGCGGTGTATACGTTCCTAAAGATTAAAATATATTTAAGGAACTACGGTTCCAAGTAGAAGGGAGATTAGAATTTATTGGTTCTATCACATAAATAAATAAAGGAAAACCATTCCATCCTTATAACATTGTTTCACTTGAATAAAATATACACTTATCTGAATACTCCCTCGCACCTTGCCTTTGAATCTGACTTATAACCTTAATAAATCTAATCGAGACTCAATTCAACGGACCCAATTGACTTATAACTTCGACGTGGTTTATTAAAACTCGGGTTCTGAACCATATACCATTGTAGACATCAGTAACTTGTAGAAATTGTGATAGAAGGCACCACCTTTGGCTAGATATTTGATTTCGATAAATCATCACATGAACTTAAAGTTATACTTGACCATCGTCTGCTTTTGTCTTATTATCATCCTTAAGATCATCGCTCTCCCTTAAAAATTCTTAAACTGTTATCATTGTTCCTGAAAACACCCTACTGAACACCATTGTTAACGACATCATCTGCTATTGCACCACCTTCTCATTGTACTTTGTCGATACTAAGTATTCGTAAAAGCCGTCCCATTGTTTCTTTTGTTTCATACTATTATAAAAAGACCCACTTCGCTCTCTATTTATATTCATCTCCACATACACCATTGGAGTTAAATTGGCTTTTACCCATATAATTTTACTTTGCTCTTCCAACAACGGTTACACTACCCTATACTGGATAAGCAACAACATGCTTATTTGCTCATGATACTAAAAACCTTAATCTATGACCAGGAAATTACAATTTCATTTGATAAAGATACTAAAATCCAAGAGACCATAGATATAATATTCTCTCTGAACTCTGCGCCACAGCAGTTTCTATACAACCATTTCACTCCAAGACTTCTTAACAACCCTGTACCTATCTGCTAAAAGACACACTAAAACAAGTACACCAAATTAATAACCGACTTGTATAGTTTAATCAACAAAGAATTAAGAACTGGCATGAATTACAAGAAAACATCAACTGGATACAAACACTACGGTATATCACCTATGGTGAAAGACCACTAGCCCTAAATACTAACCCATCTTCCTCAGCAATAAAAAACTTCAAGATCAAACTACTCTCAGAAGAACTACCTATTCACCTCCTGCTCCATTGGAGAAATGCTACAAAGTATCCTAATTACCACTGCCCAAGATGTTTCAATGGCGTCGAAGATATTATGCATCTTCTAACTTGCATTCAGAACCACCTACGTCTTTCAACTCTAATTACACAAGTGGTACAAGAAACCTCACGGAAAATAGAGATATCATACTTCGACTTGGGCATCTTTATTCGGGCCTTTACTAATCTCCACGTCAACAAAAAAATATCTATTGGATTAATCACCGAGAAAACCCTAGCTCCCTTCGAAAAAAAAGATAAACACAAATATGCATCTCTTGTCTACTATAATATTGTTACTGCAATATATAAAGAGTTATGGCTCAAATCCAGAGCAATGCAACACAGTTCTACTATCCCACCACCTCCACCACTACAACCTCTGCCAATGAACCGAACTGAATCACTTACACCCACACATTTACACAAAAAGATTCAAAAATATATAACTTACGACAGTCTTCTCTTAGCTTTCTTATCAAAGACTAGAGGTCTAACGACCATTCTAGCAAAAAATGGGTCGAGAATAAAGTAGCTCTTAACCCTATCTCCCATAGTGTAGTTTTCTTTTTCATGTATATCATATATGTATATTTAAACTATTAAATAAAAGAGATAGAGGATAGACCTCTCTTTAAAAAAAAAAAAAATTAGGTAGTTATCAGAATAGCTTTACTCAAAGTTTAAAAAAAATTTGACTCAACTTCTATATTTTAATTTTTTTTAAAAAACTTTGAGCAAAGATATGTCAATAATCATCTAATTAAATTTAATGAAAATTTTTTTATTTGAATTTTATAAATTTATAGAATTCAAATAAAACTATTTTAATTGAATTTAATTAGATAGTTTTTAGAATAACTTTATTCAAAATTTAAAAAAAACTTGGTAGAGCTTTTATGTTTTAATTGTTTTAAAAAAAAAATGTTGAACAAAGATATTATAATAATCATTTAATTAAATTCAATAAAAATTTTTTTATTTTAAATTTTATAGATCTATAAAATTTAAATAAAGTTATTTTTATTAAATTTAATCAGATAATTGTTAAAATATCTTTACTCAAAGTTTTAAAAAAACTTGACATAGCTTTTATGTTTTAATTTTTTTTAAAAAAACTTGAGTAAAGTTATTTCAACAACTGTCTAATTAAATTTAATGAAAATTTTTTATTTGAATTTTATGGATCTATAGAATTCAAATAAAAAAATTTTTATTAGATTCAATTAAGTAGTTATCAAAATAATTATTAAATTTAATTTGATTTAAGCCACCCAGCCCAGCCCGCAATTACAAAATTTAATTGTTAGGCCTGGCCCAGGCTTCAGGACTCAATGCAGGCCTCTATTTTCAATTACATAAAAATTTAAAGTGCACCAGGAAATAACAAGAAATAATGAGGAAATAAAAAGCAGTTCTGGAGAAATAAACATTACTTTAGAATAGAGGCCTGCATAGGCCGGGCCGAAATTTGAAAATTTTAAAAACCTCTCAAAATTGCGGGCCTGGTGTGTCAAGAACATAGTAAATTGCAGGCCAATCTTTTAAAAAACATAGTAAAATTTATTTTGTGGGCCGTGCGGGCCGGCAAAAGTACAAATTTCTAGGCCTGTGCAGGTCCCTACTTTAGAATTATTATTATTATTTTTTTTACTAATTAGTGATTATAAGTCGAAAAACCCTGTCATGCGATCAAAAAAATGACGTTAAAAGTCTACACAATAGACACATGTATTGAATCATCATGAGACAGAATTTTATAACAGCTACAGATATAATTCATATTATGAAAGGTCAATATCACTCCTAAATTATATATTATTTTTAACTCAAAAAAGTGATTGCAAATTTTTATTTCACTATAATTATAATCCTAAGAATTTACAATAAATCACCAAACCAATCTTTTTCAGCAGGTCTTCGTCTTTTAGTTCCAAATATTTCCTCAGAAACTTTGCAACTCTTAATAATGTTGCTTCATCATACCATTTTGCCATAAATTGTAATCCAATTGGCAAATTTTTATTATCATACAAGATGATGCTGAAACATTGACTTATTTTAATATGAAATTTTAAAATTTTTGGGGATGTTTTTTTGGCTTTTTTTTTGTAGTTAAGTTAGGGTTTAGGGCTAGTGTTTATAATAAAAAGGTAAGGTGGATTCTAGTAGGGTTTATATTTCTAAATTGAGACCCCACGTTTCAGCATCATCTTGTTACAGCATCATCCCTGACATTAATTATTGTTTGTTAGTATATATTATGGTAGAGCTTACGAAAAGCGAACAATTCAAGAAATATCAACTTTTGAAATTTTCACACGATCATAACGATTCGGTAATTATGTCGCCAATTGTACATACGTACGTACGTATGTACATAATTATACAGTATGATTGAACACATAACTGTGTGAATGATCATGAACATTGTGATAACCAGATAATTCAGGGATTACAGTATTCACACTGGTTTAAGTTATTCAGTAATCATGAGGCAAAGGCAGTTTTAATTATAAATGGATACCGTAGCTTATTTTGTCATTATTAAGTTAGAATTCCTATATGCGGAAGGTCATTAGAATCATACTCCTTCTGTAATCTTGATTATATGGGATTAGCCCTGTTCATGTTACTATTCACGGGGCCTTTTTTGATCTGTTGACTTTTGTGTCAACTTAAATGAAATTATAACGGGTTGGTGTGGTATAGGTGAGCGGTACAGACTTAATTTAAAAACTATACCATACCGTTATTATTCAGCTATAATTTAATAACCCTAATAAATATATGGGATCTTTGCTACCATTTGACATTTTCCGATCGGGTTAATTCGGAATATTTTAAACCAACATACCGGTTCTTATTTACATATAAATCATATTTTGCACTTATTGATTCAATAGCTTATCGAATGAACTTTTGAATCAATAAAGGTAAAAATAATTTACATGCAAATAGGTACTGATATATGTCGAAGGATGATTTTCCTAGCAAAAATCCCATATCGCTTGAATAAAAGTAAATACTTATCTGAATATTCCCTTGTGAATTGTCTTCCGAATTCGACTTTAA